GAATGTTTCTGTTCAATTATTATTTTATACATGAATGTTTCTGTTCAGTCCTGAGATGATTCTGTTGTGACTTGGAGCTGAAGAAATGAACTGAATTGATAAAAACAAACGACTCAAGTTGTTCTGCCTACACCGAGTCCATCTGCAGCCCTGGTCCTGGTTCTGATCCGGTCCAGTTTCTGCCTCAGTTTGTGTGTCTGACTCTGAGCCTGGTCCAGCTCGGCCTTCAGCTGCTCCACAGAGGTTCGGTTCTGCTGCTCAACCAAACGTCCCTGAGGAAACGGACACAGAACCACGACCTGGTTTGATTGGGTCGGTGTCAGCGGTGTCGGAGGGTCTGAGTGTGCAGACCTGCGGGTCCAGCAGCTCCACGGTGTCATTCAGAACCTTCAGCTGTTCTGTGGTGGACCTCAGCTGCTCTGCTGTCAGCCGCTCGGCGTCGCTCGTGGACCTCCTGAGCTGCCGTAGCTTCCTGTGGAGTCGGTCCACGCTCCTCTGGTGGCCAGAGCTCACTGAACGCAGCTGCAGAGATCAGAACCAGTATGCACATGCTGCATTGTGGGTAATTTGTAATGGCAGATGTGAGTTGGTGACCTCTGACCTGCAGCTGCAGAGCGTCCTTCTCCTGCTGGACATCCTGAAGCTGCTGACGGGTCGACTCCAGCTGCTCCTCCTGCAGGTCCAACAACGTTCAGAACCACAAACAAAACCCGACAGATAAAAACAGAATTACAGGCAGACAGTCGGGTTCTATCCAGAACCTGCCGGGCCGAGCGGCCAAACTCAGATTTAGCTGCTGGAAGTATTTCAGGTCGTTCTTCGGACTTTAGCTGCTTCCTCAAAGATTAAAACAACAAAATGTAAACGATGAAATCAAAGAACAGCTGATCCGGATCAAACGGACCAGCTCCAAAGATTTACTCCGGAACGTTCCAGATATGTCGATGTTCCGTTCTGAGACGTGTGCACTGAAACACCTGGAGTCAGGTGACCTCAGGCTGCGCAGGTGAGAACCCAAACCAAGACCAGACAACAACAAAGTCCATGCTCAATAATCCAGGTATACGATCCAACATTTTTCAGTCAGCTCATCTGGACAGTTTCTTTTTTTGTGCTGAAACGTTTCACCTTCCATCCAGAAGGCTTCATCAGTCAAGGAAACACAACTGATTTTTCCCCCCCAACAGCTTACTCCAAGTGGAACAAACCAGTTCTGTTATGATAAGATGGTCTCTTTGGTACGCCCCTCCTCCATCGCCGGCTCTCTTCCTTGTTGACAGTCGTGTCAAACTGGTTGAAAACACTTTGCTGATGAAGCCTTCTGGATCGAAGGCGAAACGTTTCAGCACAAAAAAAGAAACCGTCCAGATGACCTGACTGAAAAATGTTGGCAAGAACAGACAAGTTCATTTACAGCTAAAGAACCTTCATCACATCCAAAGTGACAGACTGCGCCCATGGAGGTCACCTTGTTGACCCCATTTAAACACTTTGGCTGCTTCTGTTTGTAAACAAACACTTCGGCTATTTCTGTTGGTAAACAAACACTTTGGCTGCTTCTGTTTGTAAACAAACACTTCGGC